CCCATGATATCACTTATATGTGGGATATAAACCTAAAAGCAACAAATGAGCAGGACAAACAAACAGAGACTCATGGACATGGACTATAGACTAGTGGTTACTAGTGAGGTGGGGGTGAAAGGGGAGGTAGACAGGGTAAAGGGGGTCAAATATAGGGTTTAGGGGGATGGTGAAGTGAGTAAAGGAGATCAAATATATGGTAGCTGAAGGAAACTGGACTTTGGGTGGTAAACACACAATATGCAGATGTCAAATGATAATGTACCTCTGAAAATTATATAATTGTATTAACCAATGTTACCCCAATAAACTTAATTTAAAAATTTTTTTAAATGAAAGATAAAAATCATATGACCATTTCAAAACATGCAGAAAAATCTTGACAAAATCCAGCATCCATTTCTAATGAAAATTCTCAGCAAAATGGGAATAAAGGGAACATACTCATTATAATAAAGGTCATATATGACAAACCCACAGCTAACATCATACTCAATGTGAAAAAGCTAAAAGTGTTTTCCTTAAGATCAGGAACAAGAGAAGGATGTTCACTTTCAGCGCTCTTATTCAACACAGTATTGGAAGTCCTACCCACAGCAATCAGACAAGAAAAATAAATAAAAGGCATCCAATTTGAAAAGGAAGAAGTATAACTGTTATTACTTACAGATGACATAATATATAGAGAGAGAATCCTAAAGATTTGACCAAAAAACTTTAGAACTGATAAATGAACCCAGTAAAGTAGCAGGATATAAAATTAGTATTCAGAAATTGGTTGCATTTCTATACATCGGTAACAAAGTATCAAAAAGACAAATTAAGAAAACAATCCCATTTACAAGTGTATCAAAAAAATAAAATACCTAGGAATAAATTTAAGGAAAGAGGTAAAAGACCTGTTCTCAGAAAATTATAGGACACTGAAGAAACTGAATATACAAATAAATACACAAACTATGCTCATAAATAGGAATAATTAACATTGTTAAAATATCCATACTACCCAAAGCAATCAATCTACAGATTCAATGCAATCTCTAACAAAATATCAATGAGATTTTTCACAGAACTAGAACAAATAATCCTAAAATTTATATGCAACCACAAAGACCTTGAATAGCCACAGCAATCTTGAGAAAGAACAAAATTGGAAGTATCACCTACCTGAATATCAAACTATACTACAAGGCTACAGTAATCAAAACAGCACAGTGCTGGCATAAAAACAGACATAGATCAAAGGAACAGAATACAGAGCCCAGAAATAAATCCATGCCTATATGGTCATTTAACGTATGACAATGGAGGCAAGAATATGAACTGGGGCAAAGACAGTCTCTTCTATAAATGGTGATGGGAAACTGCACAGATATATGCAAAAAAATGAAACTGGACCACCTTCTTACACCATATATGAGAATAAACTCAAAATTGATTAAAGACTTAAATTTTAAGACCTGAAACCACAAAAGTCCTAGAAGAAAATACAGGCAGTAAACTCTGACATTACTCTGAATAAATTTTTTTGGATCTAACTCCTTGGGCAAGAGAAACAATGAGACTACATCAAACTAAAGGTTTGCACAACAAAGGAAACTATCAACGAAATGAAAAGAGCACCTACTGAATGGGAGGTATTTGCCAATGATATATCTGATACAGGGTTAATATTCAAAATTTATTTGCCAATGATATATCTGATACAGGGTTAATATTCAAAACTTATATTCATTCAACTTAACACCGAAAAAACAAGTAATTCAATTTAAAAAAGGGCAGACAATCTGAATAGACATTTCTCCAAAGAGGACATATTGATGGCCAAAAGACATGAAAAGATGCTCAATATCACTAATCATCAGAGAAGTGTAATTAAAACCACAATGAGATATCACCTCACACCTGTCTGAATGGCTATCAGCAATAAATCAACAAACAAGTTTTGGTGAGGGAGTGGAGAAAAGAGAACCATCACTGTCGGTGGGATTGCAAATTGGTACAGTCACTATGAAAAAGTCTGGAGGTTCCTCAAAAAATTAGAAGTAGAACTGCATTATGACAGCAATTCCACTTCTGGGTATTTTTCCAGATATCCCAAACACCAATTAAAAAAGATACATGCTCCTTATGTTCACTGCAGCTTTATTTACAATACCTAAGGTATGGAAGCAACCTAAGTGTCTATCAATAGTCAATTAGATAAAGAAAATGTGGTACATATACACAATGGAATATTATTCAGTCATAAAAATAATGAAATCTTACCATTTATAACAACCAGATGGACCTGAGGGTATTATGCTAAATGAAATCAGTCAAACAAAAAATGAGAAATACTGTATGATCTCACATGTGGAATCTAAAGAAAATAAACAAACAAAACAGAAACAAACTTATAGATACAGAGAATAAACAGGTTTCCAGGGGGGTGAGGGTTGGAGGGCTGAGTAAAAAAGGTGAAGGATTAAGAAGTACAAATTTCTAGTTAGAAAATAGTCATGAGCTCCATATTAAAATTAAAAAAAAAAAAAAAGAAAATAGTCATGGGGATGTAAAATATAGCATATGGAACATAGTCGACAATATTGTAATAACTATATGGTGTTGGGTGGGTACTAGACTTATTGGATCATGTTGTAAGTTATATAAATGTCTAAGCACTATGTTGTATGCCTGAAATTAACATATAATAATATCGAATGTCACTATTTAAATTGAAAAATATTTTTTTAATTGAATACTGTAAAAGGATCCTGAGAGCAAAAAGTTTGAGTGCCATTGGTGTATATGCTACTCTTCACAGTAAAAAAGGGAGAAAATAAAAATATATCTTTGTACTAGCTTGTATATGCATAAAGTAACTCAGAAAGGATAAATAAACCAGTGATTAAGCAAAGATTGTAGGGAATGGTAAGACAGAAGACCTTTTACTCAATCTTTTTAATTATTATTTTGGAGCTACATATAAATCAAAAAATTCAGTTCAAAGAAAAATGGTAGAGGCTAGGAGTCAGCAATGACAGGTAGGAATGAAGTCAGGCTGAAAGGGGAAGGACCACAAAGTATGTGTGGAGTATCTGCCCTCCCCCACATCTAGAAATAACTATCTTCAGGCAAAATATTAGAGGATTCTTCTCTAAAGAAATGAAACCTGGTGAACTCACAATGCAATATGCCTTACTGTTGAATTGCACACCTGAATCTTACTGGATTTCATTAACCAATAAATTAACCAATTAATTCGTGAATTAAAAAAAAATGAAACAAAGAGACCCAGAGAGCTTCTAGTATGAGACTTCTCATCTTAAACTATAACAGGCAACCATGTATCATCATTCAAAGTCTGCAACATGTAAGATAAACAGAAAAGCTAACCTACAGAAAACTGAGGTATAATTCAGGAACTTGAAATTTTTAAAGAAAATTTAAAAGAATTTTTAAAAACAACAAAAACAAGAAGTCATGTACCCAGAGATATTGTAGTTATTGGACCCAACTGCCAAGTGGATCTGGTTGAAAAAGATACTGTCAATTTTCTAATAGTCATCTTAAAATTATGACTATACATGCCAGCCACATGTTCTTGTGGAAATTACATTCTTATATGAACATGGTACAGAGGAAAAAAAAAGTTTTAATATCAGATATAAACTTATTTCACTTACTACCTATCTGCTCCTGAGGAAAGTATTCAACTTTTGAGCCTGTTTCTTCCAGTGTACCTTGGCTAATATCAGCCTTATTATAAGAATTTAATAAGTTATTTTTTCCTAATACATTCCCTAGCACTTAAGGAATGTTCCAAAAATGGCATTCTTGTTGCCTACAATACAGCAGAAAAGGCTGACAGTATGTTACTACAAAGTAGTTTAAAAAAAAAAACAAACAGATTGGTGGTGGTTGCCAGAGGTATAGGGAAGTAAAAGAAATTGGAAAGATATTTTTGTTTGTATTTTTTTAGTTTAAATAAATTGATTTTTAAAACCAACAGAAATCACAATGAAATATGCTTTAAGGTTAACATCATTTAATGTTTTCATTTTCACTTTTAAACATACGATTTGCATATACAGTGAAAAATAGATTCTGTGGGCACAACAGAATACGAGAGAAAGGGAAAAAATCGGACAAAAAAATCAACTCTAAGGGGTTAAAAATGAAACTTCATTCCATGCCTGAGTCTACATAAACTTGAGAAGGAGAAAAAGATTACACATAATCACAACTGATGTAGAAAATAATCGGGTCATTCTATCTCAACAAGAACTTCTCCTTATGATCCAGATCGTGGCTTCTGGTCTGGCCTGTTTCACGAATGATAATCTGAAATACAGCCACTGGTCTCTTCTTCTTTACCATCTAAGTCCTTAAAGTTAGCTCAATGAATTTAAAGAACAGAGCCAAAAAACAATCAGATTGGTATGTGTACAATGTCAATGGCCAACTTCTTCCACGTACATTATTTAAAAATACACATGCAAGTAAAATGCTTACTCAGACCTAAACAAGTTAATTCCAACTCACCTAAACTTCTTGATTTAGGATTAACTAAGTGAAGCAATCAAAAAGTTGGCATCTTTAAGAGCTGAGGCTAGGGAAATGAAATATCTCAGTTCATCTTTATATTCAGTATACATTTCATATCAGAATCAAGTTTCTAGTGAGTGAATTTTGAGTTTCAACTATGGTTGCCCCACTGATGAAAAGGGATGGGGGCATCAGTCCACAGCTCTCACCCTTCAGTTGGAAGGCAGCCAAGGGAACAAAGCACGACTGAATCAAGGGCATCTCAATGACATAACTCAATAGTCTGTGGTTCTAACAGCTCCAAGTTCAAAATTAATACTCTATTACAACATTAAAAACTGTTTCATTTCTGTAAGTAAAACATACAGCTTTAAAAATTACCATCTGAAAAGCCATTCTTATTACATAGCACATAAAATCATAAAAGCAACATTTTTAGCTATAAAAACTAGTGTTGTCACATATCACATTTGGCAATTTTCCACCATGTCAAACATCCAAAGAGAGGATAGTCAAGTACACTTTCTTTCAACTGAAAACAGACTCTCCGCTGTCAAAAAGTCCACTCGAATTGACTACGAAAATAGATCTGTAGTCACCACAAAGTTCATTTGGCATCTTGTTTCACATGGAGATCTATTTATGTCAGCCTCAGAGATAGAGTCAGTTGAACAGTAAAATAAGAGTATGTATGTAAACAGCCACACAGAATAAAAACAGAATTTGTACTACTAGGAGTATATTTTATTAAAAATAGGGCCACATGGCATGGAAGCATAGAGAACCTCACCATATTAATCTGCATTTGTAAAAGTACATTTTTAAAGCATGTAGGACAGAAAACTGGGATAATTACGAGCTTTAAAATTCACACAGTTAAAGAAATAAGAAATAACAACAATGCAAAAATGTGGGTTTTCCAGACCTCACACATAGGGTTCAAAATTAAATGGTTTAAGCTTCTCTATGACATTTGAGTCAGGAATAAAAACCAGGCTGGTGTCCTGGTCAAGTTGAGTGGATCTTGAACAGGTGATTCATGTCCTGAGGTCTCATATCCCATCTATTCCCAGAGACTCCACAATAGTCATGGTCCCACTGTAACTGCGCTGAACTGCATGTATACAAACTTCATTTCTTTAATATAGCTTTTTCTGATTCAAACTGGTTGCTTATTCCACCTTTTCTCCCTCTACCTGTGTTTGCCTGCTCCTTTATTTATTAAGCCTTAGGACATAGAGTTTATCGAGTCTCAGGTCTATAATCATGAGGACAATAATTTCTGGTTACACTAAGGATAACATCTTAGCTGTAGATGTGTTTCAGCCCCACCAAGGCAGAACCCCACTGGCCAGGGGACTGGACAGGATGGCGTTGGACTGATTCCAGAAATGAATGTAGTAATCAATTACCCAGCCCCATCCAATCGTCCAATCAGTAGCACCCAGCCCCAACTCCTTTAGTTTCCATGACTACTGATTTTTCCCTATATAATTTGTACTACTCCTGAGATGCAGGGGACGTGGGTGGTGGTGGGGAACTGGTTAAGACCATTAGCTCACCCTGCATCTCCAGGACTTGCAACTCTCTAAAATAAATCCTTACTTTCTTTGCTGCAAAACCTGCACATATTTTTTTCTTTGACTCAGACGTGCACAGGCAGATGGACTCCTTTCGTTTCAGTACCACCACCAGCCCTCACCATGCCACCACCAAGGCTGCACACTTCCCCGTACTCAAGGGACAGCCACAGTGCCCCAGTCCTACAAGACAGGAAATCTGCTCTTTAAAAGCCTTCAAAAGGATGGAAAAGAGAATCTTCTGTGCCGTGCAGTCCCAGCAAGGCCTGAAACAGTAACACTGTAACTATGGCTCTCATTCTATTTTTCTCACTATTCTTTAAATATTACTTTCTCCACAGGTAGAAAAATAAGCTATAACTAGGCTGAGGTGGCAATAAAAATACTCTAAGCTGACACTAAAAACATAATGTCTCCAAATAAAGCAAATCTCCACATACTTGTTTGCAATTGTTTTGCCTTCTTCAAGATTTAAAAGATAAAGCTCTAAAACTTTAAGGTTCAAGTTGATTTCAAATTTGGTATTTTTTCCAAGGATTGCTAACAAAAACAAACAAGGAGGACCAAACCGGAAAAGCATCATTTTAACGGGAGCTATTGTCCTGTCCCCACCCATGACCCTGAGAAGTCAGCCTTGCTGGAGGCCTGCAAAGCCTTAGAGGTCCTGGGGCTATCATACCACTGCCTCAGGGTAGTTCCCTGGTGGCTTACAGCCAACAGCTCCTGAAGTAACATGTAGCCTAGCCAGGTTCTGGTTTCAGGTTTGAATGTTTGATGTTAAACCAAAAGAATCTACAGTTTTTCTTGCCAGAGTCACTCACTCACTCATTCATACATATCATCATACTACTAGCATAACACTAAATAACTTATCCCTTAAGGGCTACGCCTAACTCTAAAAAGAAAATGCCTTTCAAAACATGTATGTTTAAATAAGGTATTTCAAGAGTTCCATAAGGAAACTATAGAATGAGCTAGTGCTGTCAAAGAGTTCATGTTCTGTCTAAAGAGCAGTCCACTTACGTGGATTACTTATAACTATGATGTCACTACTTTGAAAAGAACTATTAAAACTATTACTGAAAACATTTATCATAAACTAAAATGCTCTGCAAATGATATTATTACACAAGGGTAGCAGGAGCTATATGTAAATCGACTGCAAGGACTCTAGAAGACCCAGAACAGGGATCCTAAGGCCATGCCTGTGGCTGCTCCTGCCAGCATGCCCAGCGCCAGATCACTGTCGTTGTCTTGATACCGCTCACGAATGATGACTTGGTTGGCAGGCTGTTGTCCATAAAGTCCTAAAAAAAAAAAGGGGGGGGGAGGAATAGATCTCTAAGAAACAGTTTGTGAAGTCTAACTCAAAAAGATGGCTCACTCAACTGGGACCCTTTCTGAGAATAATCAAGGTCATTGCTCCATGCATTTGCGTCCCTCCTCCTATAGCCTTGTCTTCCCCTGGAGAATTGGTAGGGTGGCTGCAGTGAGTGCTCCTCAGTTCTCCTGCACCACAACAGGCTAAGGTGACCAGACTAGGCCTAGTGAGAACACCTCCATTTCTAAGATCGCAGCAAAAGAAAATCAAGATGCACAGCTTTCTAAGGTCTAAAGTCCCAAACACTGCAGAGAGCAAAATCCTGATGAAGATATAAACTTCAGCCTCCAATTTCTACTTCAGGCCTCTACATCATGCTTATCAGGATAACAGGAAAATGGGGAACAGCTGAGGAGATACATAGAGCCTGTAGACAATGGGAAAGTCAAGTTGAGAATACCCATTAAAAGCTAAAAATGAAAATACTATCTAAAAGCTAATTAGCTTCTTACAATTCATGCAAACCATTTTTTAAATGAAACCTTAAATGTACTAATATAACCATAAAGTTCTGCTTTTCATTTTTAAACATAAATCTTTATAGGGAAAGTATGTTAGAGAAAAATCTTCTAAAATACAAACTTTTAAACAAATTTAATTTATTTTTAATTAAATTTATTAGGGTGACATTGGTTAATAAAATTATATAGGTTTCAACTGTACAATTCAATAATATGTCATATGTATATTGCATTGTGCGTTCACTATGCAAAGTTAAATTTCCTTCCGACACTGTATATTTAATTTAACCCCCTTTACCCTTATCTACCTCCCCCGGCTTTCCTTAATATCTTATTTGCATTATTAAAGTTTACAACTAGAAATGTAGTGCTTGTTCTCTTCTATACATCACAACTTTATTGTCTAATAACTAATTAGCTTTAAAATTGCTCACATATAGTGTTAATATTCCTCCTTGACCTGCTAGTCTTTTAATAGTTCAACTCTAAGACAGCTAGAAACTAGTCTAATGGTAATGTTAACATATAGATGAAGAATGAAGTGAAGCCAACAGTGATAATGAAGACTAACATTAATATTACTTCCCAGTCTAAGCATTTACAGTGGTAAAAGCATTTACACACAGTGACTCACTTAATCCTCACATCTACCCTATGAGATGAGTTTATTATTCCATCTTCCATCTTACAGATGAGCATAAAGGGGTTACATATGGGGGTTAAGGGAGTAAGGGCAAACATAGGCCCTCAGGCTACCTTGCACACTTAACCACTAGTGCCTCAAATATGATGGAGAGAAAAATCAAGCCACAGAGTAGAAATAATGAGACCACTATAAACCTCTAAGAGTGGATCAGGTAACAAACAGTATTAGAAGCAAATGATTATGCCATGTTTAAATTTCAAAACTGATGAATTGTAGCATTCACTTTCACAGCCTTGAAATTTCAATTAGGGAGTTCCAACTAGTTAAATATAATACTGCAGAAAATTATAAGCTGACCTAATTAAAAGATCTGAAAAAATCTAAATCTGCATTCCTTCTATAGGTCACAGCAAAGAATACCCTCACTACATGACCAGGAGACCACTCTCCTGCGGCTCCTGCTTACCTGTGCCCCTAAGTCCTTACCAAAGTCAGCTAAGGATATTTCCAAGCAGTACTTACTTTAATTATCTAATTTAACTAAGTGTTTGGTCAAAATGTGAATGTGAAAAAGACAAATATTTTTCTATGACAACTAAGTTAGATACTTGAGGAATGATTAAAAAGCAGGTAACTTTTACGAATTATGATCAATCCAAGGAATTGAGTAAATTATAAAAGATGGGGAATGGGGAGCCTAGAACCAAAATCTGGAGGTTTGCTCTTGGATTTACCCTTGGAAACTGCACTGCAATAATTTGTCATGAGTATGATCTCTACAGGACGGAAATTGGGACCCCAAACAAGGGAGCCAACTCAAAGCAAAGCCCTCAAGCCAAATCAAAAGACAGCTGAAAAAATGTCCACTAAAGAGGGTGAATTAAAACAGAATACTTACAGTACATATACAGCACTCTTTGTACTTTTTTAATTGGCTGACCACGAGTCTCAATTATATTAAAGAGAAGGCCTTTAACCAGTTCTATGCATAATGAGGATCTCTACAAACACTGGAAGGTAGTGTGCCATGAAGCTGGCAAACCACTGGGTTGTCTTAGAAAGGCTGACTAAAGAGCTTGTCTGGTTATTAGCACAATGTTGCTGTGGGATGACCACAAACCAACTCAGGCCTTCCACAGCAAGCACACCTGCTGGTTGGTCACAATGCTAATGCTGAATATCTACCCGCTACAGCAAGAATTCTGAGGTTCCTCATGAGAGTGCCTTTTTTTTTTTTTTATGAGGAAAATCAAGGGCAGGATGGAATCTGATTTATAGAAATTCCCTTTATAAGCACTTCTGCAGAACTTCTGCTCTTCTATATGATAAGAAACTGCTGAGGTTATGCCAGTCTGTGGCCTGAAAGCTGAATAAGAGGCTGGCTCTCATGGTGTGGGTAAGGCTAGAGATTAAAAACCCACCACCAACTCCAAAATAAATGGGCAAAGAAAAATAATTCATACAAGAGTAAATCTAATTTGTAAACATATTTGTGACTAAGGAGGTTATCAAAACTTTTAGAGTATAACAATAGGCAATCTTTACGGGACTACAGAAAAATCAGCATACCATTAACTCCTGACAATGTAAATTGGTAAACTGTTCTAGAAATCAGTTTGGTAAATGGTATCAAGACTTACTGTAATATTGTCAGATAAAATAATAAAGTCTGGATTTCCCTTAAAAAAAATCGAGAGGTGGGGAGAGGAAATGAAACAAGATTAGCCATGATGTGGTAAATCACTGAGGCTAGTAATAGGCAAGTGACAGTTCATTATACTATTGTCTCTACTTTCGTATGTTTAAAAACTTTTATAATTTCTAGTGGTATCAAAAGAAACAAAAATGTCTATGCCCCTTGACATATTAATTTAATATACAGAAATGAGAAATGCTACAGCATATTTAACAGGAATGAAAAAAAAAATGACTAGAGATGTCCAAACCAAGCAAAAAAAAGAAAAGAATAAACAGCCAATACTAGAAGACTTAACTAATAATATATCATACAACATAATATGAAATCATTAAAAATACTTTTTAAGATTATATATCACCCTGGACAAAATATATAAATTTTAAAATGAGAAAGAAATGCAAAAAGCAATGTAAAGTTATAAAGATTTTATATGAGGAAAGTAATTCAAACAAAAATGGTTGTGCTAGGCTCTCAGTCATTGGACAAATATTCCATTTTTTTCCATCGTTATTTTATTGGTTTTCAATTTTGAGATGAAAAAAAGCCAAGCAAGGCAGAATCTTCCACAGTCAATGCTAGTTAACTAATCTCAACTGTAAGAGATATCAGGAACAGATGAGTATAAAAACTCTCTCTTGTACTAAGCACTAATGTATGAGAAATCAAAGTAACCACCCCAAACTAGAAGGACACACTGACTCTGGGGCCAACCAAATCCAGAGACCCAATGATAGCCCCCTTGACTTCTCTGTGGCTATAACATCACTGATCACTTACCTTTCTGGTAACAGATTCTCAGGCCACTCCACCAGGTTTGCTCACAGTCCCTCAGAGTTGCAATCTCTCCGTGAGCTCTGGATTTCCATTCCAGTCTATTCCCCGGCTCATTCTCTTGTGAGTCGATCTGACATGCAATGCCCACTGCAAACTGCCCCTGCCTGACTTCACCTGTTCTTCAGTTCATCAGTCACATGGCTCTGGTCCTCCTCATCCTAGCTGTAGGCTCCAGCTGATGACAAGCATTCTCTTATATCTCCACCATGACCAGGGTGCACCCAAAACTTGATCTTACCAACACAAGCAAGTCACTCAAACCTACAATTTGTTTCAAGTGAGGTGAAAAATGGAAAGAAGCACATCAAACGCCCAGAATAATATAAGCACTTTCCAAGCCTCACTTCCCTTGCAAAATAGAACATCACCTCAGCAGGGATAATATTTGAAGGATGCTACCAGAAGGAAAGAATACTACTTATGCTTTAAAAGGGGCCTGTTCGTTTGGTTGCTTAATGTAAGTAAATCCCAATATGTACAAATTCTCTTCTTTAGAACAAATCTGGATACGATAGTGAAGTTTTAAAAATCGAGCCTACTACTCTAGCTTTGTAAAGCAATGTGAAAATACATAATGCTTTAAAAAAAAAAAAGCATAGTAGCAGAGTGATTTGTGGTCTATAATTAGGAAACATAGCTCACTTATCCTTAAATTGAGAAATAAAAATCCTTCAGCCTTTATTGATCTACCCCCTAAATGAAGAGAAACAAGGAATGGAAGGGTTCCATGACTTACCTGCATATGGGTACTGGTAGGATACAGCATAAGCCTGTCCATTCTCAGCATAAACAACTTGAGTTCCTGGTGGGTATGCACCACTGTATGGACCATAGCCATATGCCTGTTGAAAAGAAACAGGCTCATTAGAAATATAATTTTGAAATGCAACATCTATTTATAATTTAAAAATCTCACCACAGTGGTTATATAGGAAATGTACCTCAACATAATAAAGGCCATTTTTGACAAGCCACGCCTAACATCATACTCAATGGTGAAAAGCTAAAAGTTGTTCCTCTAAGAACAGTAACAAGATAAAGATATCCATTCTCGTTACTTTTAGTCAACATAGTACTGAAAGTCCTAGCCAGAGCAATTAGACAAGAGAAATAAAAGGGATCCAAATTAGAAAGAAGTAAAACTGTCACTATTTGCAGATGACAAGATATCATATATGGAAAACCTTAAAGGCTGTTAGAACTAATAAATGAATTCAGTAAGATTGCAGGATACAAAATAAATATACAGAAATCTATTGTGTTTCTATACACTCATGATGAACTATCAAAATGAGAAATTAAGAAAACAATTCCATTTACATCATCAAAAAAATAAAATATCTAGAAATAAATTCACCCAAGGAAGTGAAAGACTTGTACACTGAAAGCCATAAGACACTGATGAAAGAAACTGAAGAAGACACAAATAAATGGATAGTCCATGCTCATGAATTAGAAAAATATTGTTAAAATGTCCATACTACCAAAGCAATCTATAGATTCAGTGCAATCTCAATCAAAATACCAATGGTGTTTTTCACAGATAGAAAAAACAATTCTAAAATTTATATAGAACCACAAAAGATCCCAAATAGCGACAGCAATCTTGAGAAAGAGTAAAGCTAGAGGCATCATGCTTCCTGATTTCAAACTATATTACAAGGCTATAGCAATCAAAACAGTATGGTATTGGCATAAAAACAGATGCAGAGATCAATGGAACAGACACGTGAAAGGATGCTCAGCATCACTAATCATCAGGGAAATGCAATCCAAATCACAATGAGATATCACCTCATACCTGTGAGCATGGCTATTATCAAAGAGATAAGAACTAACAAGTGTTGGTAAGGATGTGGATAAAAGGGAATCCTTGTACACTCTTAATGAGAATGTAAATTGGTGCAGCCACTATGAGAAACAATATGGAGGTTCCTCAAAAAAATTTTTAATTAAAAATTAAAAATAGAATAAAAATATGATCTAGCTATTCCACTTCTGAGTAGTTATTCAAAGAAAACAAAAACACTAACTCAAAAAGATATGTGCACCCCCATTTTTATTGCAACATTTACAATAGCCAAGACATGAAAACAATGTATGTGTCCACCACAGATGAATGGATAAAGAAAATGTGGTGTATATATACAACGAAATATTATTCATCCATAAAAATAGAATTAAATCTTGCCATCTGCAACATGGATGGAACCTATGGGCATTATGCTAAGTGAAATAAGTCAGACAGAGAAAGATAAATACTGTATGATCTCACTTATATGTGAATCTAAAACAAACAAACAAACAAACAAAGTCCGCAAATAAAAGAATAACTCAGTGGATGCCAGAGGTCGGGGTTGGGAGGTGGAAGACTTGGGTGAAAGGAGTCAAAACGTACACACTTCCAGCTAAAAAATAACTCATAGATGTAATGTGCAGCATGTGACTACAGTTAATAATACTGTGTTCCATATTTGAAAGCTATTGAGAGTAAATCTTAAAAGTTCTCATCACAACAACAAAAAAATTCTGTAAGTATGTATGGTGATGGATGTTCACTAGATTTACTGTGGTGATTGTTTTGCACTACAAATATCAAATCATTACGTTGTACAACTGAAACTAATATAATGTTGTATGTCAATTACACCTCAATTTTAAAAAATACAATTTCAAACCCCTGGTAAGATTAAAATTGACTCTCCAAGTTATAGTAAATACAATTTAAAAGTCAATAAAAATAAATAACATAAGACAGTGTGGTTATGCCTTTTTAAAAATTTTGTTTTAAGATTTAACAAAAACAAACCCACAACTGGAGGATATAAAATGAAGAAGGCAGAAAAATGCAACAAAAAAAAGAGAACTGTATGAATTTCAATTGAGCTCTACCATTAACTTGACCTTCAGTAAGTCACCTATCTATTCAGGGCATTGTTTTGCTAATCTCTAAAATGATCAGGTTAGACCAGGTAATATATGAGATTCATCCAAAAACAGTATTCTCTTGGTGAAGCCAGCCTAGCAGCAGAACCTTCCCCAGCCCAATTTTCAGCAGTTTCAAGCAAGATAATATGAAAGACTGGGAACGTTGGGGGGCAGAAGAACCCTGAAGTCTGAGAACTGAGCAAGTAGCTGGCAGTTTTCCAGCAGCACAGGCCTATAAAAGAGCACTGCTAGAAATGGGCAGTGAACCCGCCTCCACTGCCCAAATGTCCTGAGAAAAATGGAGATAAAAGGCCTAACCTACTTTGTGAACTCACAGGTAGGGGACAGGTATGTTTAAAAACATTACAATTACTGTCATTATGTGACAAGTGCTGTGGCACAGGGGAGAACAGGGAGCTGTAGTCAGGCAAATACATGTATAGAGATAACCTGCTCTCTTATAAAGGCAAGAAACAGGACTTACGCTTCTGGAAGATGGAATACAGTACTCCCCTCAACCTATCCTTGGTTTTGCTCTCCATGGTTAGTTACCCATGGTTGACTGCAGTCTGAAACTACTACACGAAAAATTCGAGAAATAAATAATTGCTAAGTTTTAAATTGTGTGCCATTCTGAGTAAAATAATGAAATCTTGTGTTGTCCCATGCCACCCCACCAAGGATGTAAATCATCCCTTTGTCTAGCATATTCAACAGACTATCACAGTATCACAGTGCTTGTGTTCAAGTAATCCTAACTTTTTATGTAATAATTGCCCCAAAGTATAAGAGTATTGATGTTGGCAATTCAGATATGCCAAAGAGAAGCTGTAAAGTATATGTATGTATAGGAAAAAACGTAGCATATATTAAGTTCGGTCCTATCTGCAGCTTTAGGCAGTCACAAGGGGTCCTGGAACATATCCTCCACAAATAAGTGGAGACTATTGTAGATGCAGACATTGTTTCCCCTATTCCTGCTAAGTACAGCTGAAAACCCTGGATATTATATATAAAATAGACATAAGGAGACTCTGAAAGGTTAGAAGGTGGCAGATTAGCTAGGGAACACAGAACCCTACGGACACATGGTGAGTTCCCTGGGTTTCATTTTTGCCTTGTGTATCTTAGACTGAACAAAAGAGAAGCCAGCAACCCAGAAATGCTAATAAATGCAGGTTAAAAAGGCCCCAAGAAAAGCCTGCTTTCTCCATCTGAAGAACCTAGGATGGAAATGGGTAATTTGATAAATACCACAGAAATAATTGTGCCTCCACTCCTACCAGCAAAGGTAAAGTATGGAAAGTCTGAACTATCACATTTAGTGGACTATAACAAAGCACTCTCACACCCCTCATCTCAGGTAGTGTTAGAGAAGGCTGAGTAGGGAGCCTGGAATTTCAT